GTCCCGACAACGGAAAAAGTTCGGGGCAGAGATTCCTCCCTGCCCCCGCCCCCTGGGCCCCCCACTTCGGGCGCGGCGCGGATTTTGCGCAGCCCGTGGCCATTCTCCTACCAGCCCACCTCCCATACCCCGCCCGACCCCCGGGCGCGGCGCGAATCCCCCCGACAGCCCCCCTCGCGAAATACATCCCCTGGGCGCAGCGCGCATCCCCGCCCCCCACCCCGTCATGGGCGCGGCTCGATCCCCCCCCGGAAGCCGCGTCGCGAAATTAAATAGCCCCCCCTTAGCGCGGCGCGAACCCCAGCCCCCCCAACGCGTTGTGGGCGCGGCGCGGTCCCCCCCGGCATTCCCCTAGTTTTCCCCTCCCCGGGCGCAGCGCGAATCCCAGCCCCCCAACCCGCCGGGGGCGCGGCGCGATCTCCCCCGCGAAATTTACCCCCCCCCCCTGGGCGCAGCGCGAATCCCAGCCCCCCAAACCGCCGTGGGCGCGGCGCGATCTCCCCCGGCATTCCCCTATTAAAGTTTCCTCCCCCGGGCGCAGCGCGAACCCCAACCCCCCCCAACCCGTCGTGGGCGCGGCGCGATCCCCCCCGGCATTCCCATACTCAAGTTCCCCCCCGGGCGCAGCGCGAATCCCACCCCCCCAACCCGTCGTGGGCGCGGCGCGATCCCCCCCGGCATTCCCCTATTAAAGTTCCCCCCCCCGGGCGCAGCGCGAATCCCAACCCTCCAACCCGTCGTGGGCGCGGCGCGATCCCCCTCGGCATTCCCCTATTAAAGTTCCCCCCCCCGGGCGCAGCGCGAATCCCAGCCCCCAACCTGTCGTGGGCGCGGCGCGATCCCCCCCGGCATTCCCCTATTAAAGATTCCCCCCCCCGGGCGCAGCGCCAATCCCATCCCCCCAACCCGTCGTGGGCGCGGCGCGATCCCCCCCGGCATTCCCCTATTCAAGTTCCCCCCGGGCGCAGCGCGAGTCCCAACCCCCCAACCCGTCGTGGGCGCGGCGCGATCCCCCCCGGCATTCCCCTATTAAAGTTCCCCGCCCCGGGTGCAGCGCGAATCCCAACCCCCCAACCCGTCGTGGGCGCGGCGCGATCCCCCCCGGCATTCCCCTATTCAAGTTCCCCCCCGGCGCAGCGCGAGTCCCAACCCCCCAACCCGTCGTGGGCGCGGCGCGATCCCCCCCGGCATTCCCCTATTCAAGTTCCCCCCCCCGGGTGCAGCGCGAATCCCAACCCCCCAACCCGTCGTGGGCGCGGCGCGATCCCCCCCGGCATTCCCCTATTCAAGTTTCCCCCCGGGCGCAGCGCGAATCCCAACCCCCCAACCCGTCGTGGGCGCGGCGCGATCCCCCCCGGCATTCCCCTATTCAAGTTCCCCCCCGGGCGCAGCGCGAATCCCAACCCCCCAACCCGTCGTGGGCGCGGCGCGATCCCCCCCGGCATTCCCCTATTCAAGTTCCCCCCCGGGCGCAGCGCGAATCCCAACCCCCCAACCCGTCGTGGGCGCGGCGCGATCCCCCCCGGCATTCCCCTATTCAAGTTCCCCCCCGGGCGCAGCGCGAATCCCAACCCCCCAACCCGTCGTGGGCGCGGCGCGATCCCCCCCGGCATTCCCCTATTCAAGTTCCCCCCCGGGCGCAGCGCGAATCCCAACCCCCCAACCCGTCGTGGGCGCGGCGCGATCCCCCCCGGCATTCCCCTATTCAAGTTCCCCCCCGGGCGCAGCGCGAATCCCAACCCCCCAACCCGTCGTGGGCGCGGCGCGATCCCCCCCGGCATTCCCCTATTCAAGTTCCCCCCCGGGCGCAGCGCGAATCCCAACCCCTCAACCCGTCGTGGACGCGGCGCGACCCCCCCCCGGCATTCCCCTATTCAAGTTCCCCCCCCGGGCGCAGCGCGAATCCCAACCCCCCAACCCGTCGTGGGCGCGGCGCGATCCCTCCCGGTATTCCCCTATTAAAGTTCCCATCCCGGGCGCGCGGCGCGAATCCCCCCCGGCAGCCCCCCCGCGAAATTCACCCCCCCGGGGCGCAGCGCGAATCCCAGCCCCCCAACCCCCCCCGGGCGCGGCGCGAATCCCCCCCGGAAGCCCCGTCGCGAAATTAAATAACCCCCCCTGGGCGCAGCGCGAATCCCAGCCCCCCAACCCGTCGCGGGCGCGGCGCAATCCCCCCACTAAAGTTCCCCCCCGGCGCGCGGCGCCAATCCCCCCGGCTGCCCCCTCGCGAAATTTGCGCCCCCCCCGGCGCAGCGCGAAGCCCAACCCCCCAACGCGTCGTGGGCGCGGCGCGATCCCCCCGCCCGGCATTCCCCCACTGGAGTCTCCCCTCCCCGGCGCGCGGCGCGAATCCCCCCCGGCAGCCCCCTGTAGAAATGAATTCCCCCGCGGGCGCAGCGCGAATCCCGAACCCCCCAAACCATCCGTGGGCGCGGCGCGACCCTCCACCCTTGGATTCCCTTCGCGGGGCGCGACCTTAACCCCAACCCCCCTCTTCAGTGTGCGCAGAATGCACTTCCTGCCGCAAATAGAAGTCGTCGAACGCGACGTCCACAGGGTTCTGCGGCATACTTACAAAGCGTGCGCGTTGACCTCTTACTTTACAATCACTGCACCAAAAGGAACGCAACCTCGTAAGAGGGTTAATAGATAGCACGGGACGCTGATACTGGCAAATCCAAGGAACCCGTACGGCAGGTGCGTACAGACATGCAAGAAACTACTTCAGACACTCTTTCGCAGTTGCAGCGCAAACCCGGCTGGAATTAGAAACGTTTTTCTGGATCTTCTAGCGACTGGCCTTTCCTCCAATCCTAAAATAGAAATCATAATTAACGCTGCAAGTGCCTTATGTAAACTAAATGTTCCTCTATTTGCCACTATCAAACCTTTTGTTTCGTCCTCGGTCGCAAGAGTATCAGAGAAACCGAGGTTGCGTCCATGAAACGGGCAGTGATTGTTGCAGGGCGGGAAAGAAGGGTGGGTGATATCGGGATGGGAGATTGCGTGTCTTATACGAAAAAGTATGCCGTGCCTCCGGCGGCAGTTCGGAATAGTTTTGCGCGTACACGAATTCTTCTCAGCAACAGGGTAGTAAATTACCCTGTTGCTCTACCTCTTGAAAGATGCAGTACTAGAAGATGTAGCTAGAAATACGAATGCATTAGCTGTCATTCAGAGTTACATTGTTCTTACCCTATAAACACCGTTCGCCAGCTCATGTCATACGTAGCGCTGCTCTGAACCTCCGTTGCGTACGCCCGAGATCCACTTCGTAACAGGCCGAGGACGTAAGCGGAAAAGAACGACTCGAGTTTATTCTGACTGACCCACCAGGACGACGATTCCGAAACACAGTTTACTTGCTCTCCTTTATTCACGGCTGGCTGTAACCCGATCTTCGCCCAATGGCAAGTTTCCGGCGTAGCAGATCCAAGTTGCTCGTTAAGATTGTGCTTTATTCCCCAACAACCCCGATCTCGCTCGACGCGCCGCAGGTCGATTTTAATCGGAATCCGCGTTGTAGTCGTGGATTATAAGTACTATGCCTTTGTTCCACTACCGTGATCGCGACCGCACGTCCCGCACGAGCTCGTATCCAAGTACGTAGCAGTAGTTCCACCGGCAAATAGACCGCGGACCGAGTAGCTGCGCCACTGCTTTCGCTTCGGGAGCGTTGCTCTTCCTTCATCTACGCCCTATGGAGTACTCGAATTTGCGCCCCGTAGTTCGTCTGCCACGCTGGTCTGTCCCGCACTGCGCCAAAACGATACGAATCCGCGGTAACGCTGCCTTGCATGTTGATGTTTTAGTTTTGCGTTTCTCACCCAAAAAAAATAAAAATAAATGTGCAGAAGCCGCTGGAATAACAATAAGAATACCTGCGGCACTAGTAGCATAAGAATCCTGCGGTGCATTGAAAAGGATGCGGTAAAATCAAAATAGAACGGCACCAGATGATCTTGCGCATGCGCTTTTCCTACCTTTATTTCCTTTTCGGCTTATATTCCGTTCACGAACTACAGTAGAATGTCACATTCATAAGACGGACCTGCGACAGGCCACGCAGGGGCCATGACGATATACGATGAAAATGATGGGCAAGCATTAGCATCTTGGACATCCGCTTTACGAATCCTATTGCCGCAACAAAGAAGATGTGACATGCGTCAACGATTACGATTCCAACGAACTACTATTTTCATTTCCAGACGGACTAATCAACTCGTAAAAGAAACGGCTGTTCCCCTGGAAAAAGAAAAACCGATGACAGGGAGACGGAATTCACGATTGTTCAGAGAAAGAAACGCGAACTATTACGAAATGTGCTTCCTTTCCGAAGAACCGTTTTGATTTTGTTTTTTCAGCTAGACTGCGTGGAACCTTTTGACGAAGAGATATACGATATTCAGAGTTTCTGTAGTGCGACGAACTTACACTATACAGGCCGGCTTCTTACTCTTACTTCTGGTGCTACGGAGGACTTCACTTCTATTTCATACGAAAATCAAGAGCAGAAACGCTAGATCTTCATAGCAACAGACACGGCACTGAAACAAGGTTGCGAAAGTATCACTTTTCCTCGAACACTGCCATCAACGATTCCGGTTCGCCCCGCGTCATGGCGCCAATAACGCAAACGAGGCTAGGGCGGGCAAGGTCCTGTTTACTTACTTTGCACAAACATCATTTCGACGAAGCAGCAACAGTGGCGCGTCCAGCGGAGCCGCGCTGCCGTTTTCGCGCGCCGCCTCTGCGACCTCACTCGCGGAACGAAGTGCGCACGCAACTGCCGGCGCCAAGCGGTGTCTCGGCCTCTCCTAGCGTCAACTATAGCCAAGGCCAGGCGCGAGAAGAGGGCGCGCCGCTGCTGCAATACCGCGGCAAACCACGCCGGGGCCGCGAGGCAAGGCGGGCGGCGTGGCAAGTCCCTGCCACTCTGGCTGCCGGGGAAATGGGCCACGGACCAAAAACGCGCCCCGCCTGTCTTTCGCGCGGCGCGGCCAGCGAGTCGGGCGCGCCGCTTTCTGTCAGTTCCGCGCGCCGCTGCTTGTGGCGGGAGAGGGCCGGGGCAGCGTTTGGGCGGCATATAGTTCTCCCGCGATGCCGACGCCACAGGCGGCCAAGTGCACTGAGCGGGGCCACCATCTGGCGCTGCAAAGGCGCGCTCGCTCCCTGCTCCTCATCGCCCCCACCTGTGTAGCCCAGATCTCCACCAGGAAATGCGCCCGGCAGAAAAGGGTCCGCCGCCTATAGCTGCTGGTAGACCAGGCCACCCCCCTGCTCGGAATCACCATCGGGGCGCCGATATTGTTCGGGCCGAAGTGCTGCGCCCCGCGGGCGAGGCATGGCAAGGGCGGCCCACACCGGCGCGGCCACTCCTGCAACGCGCCGCCCTACTGCGGGCAGCGGTTTCGGGCCTGAGCGCACCTCTGTGGCCGGCGTCCTCGGGCGGCGCTGCGCTTCGGCCTGGGGTTTCCGCCATCTCATGCCTGTGGCCTCCACCTGGGCCAAAGAAAACAAGGCCGCGGGGGCCCTTGTTCACAGACAATTTTTGCTATTCAATTCGAAGAAAAGTGTGGCTATATTGCGGCCACATTAGCCGGCTCAAACACGACCTCTCTCAGGATTGTTGTAATGTCATTTTCACTCTTCTTTACCTTTCGTTAGGTGTCTAGATTGATAGCTTCTCGTCCTCCCCTCTTGAAACAGTGCTGGAACTGCCTTGCGGAAAAATCATTTGTCCTCGAGACTGCCATCAACGACCCACACAAACAAGCGCTACTGGAGTTGATGATGTACAATCACTGTCGAACAAAGCGAAGAGACAGCCGCCGCGCGGCCTGTTTCCCTAAGTGTAAGTGAGCAAGATGCGACCAACGGCGGAGGCAGTGCTTTGAAGTGTCCATCCACGATCGTTGCAAGCAAGACAAATTTAAACAACCAAGTCGCTGGTCGTCGTAGTATCCATTGTTGCGGCGAAATCAGGTTTCTTTGAAATCGAGGTGTCATAATTCTCACTTTTCAAATAACAGCTCTTGGTTCATCGGGGACGCGCGCTTAGACATTGTACTTCAAAGTAGTTCAAAATAGTTCTCACGGCAACTGCTGCTGCCTTTCGTTCATTCTACAAGCTAGAGTAGGTTTATCGGAAAATCCGGCAGTTCTTGTGTTATCTTCAATCTTTTCGACATTTTTGCTATCTCAATTCATCATACAGTCAGACGAGAGCATTGTAACGCCGCCGCCCTCACAGAGAAACGATAAACCAAAATCTACATCTAGTGGAAACGGTATTTTTAAACAAAAATCTTTCACCCAAAACGCTGATGCGTGCTGAACAGAGACTTCGAGGGCATACTCCGCTCCCCGTACGGAGCATTGGCAGCTTTCGACGATTTCCCACTAGACGCTGCGTTCGGGAACAACGAGAAGGTCTGCTGCGGAGTGGTCTGGCGCTGCGTACGCGTCGCGTAATTCGGCGTGTTCCCGCGAAGAAGGGGGTTGGCGTTATTGTTCGACAAAGGAGGTTGCGCAGGACCAGGAGCGAATGCGGACGAAGCCAGGGTTCCGGAAGTTGTGTAGGTTCTGCTGGTCTGCTGCGAGTTGTTTGGAAGCATCTTCACATGATCCGGGTGAGTGTTTGCTCCCACGCCACCACCTGGTGCCCGTTGCGTCACCACTTGTTGCTGCTGTGCCGGCGCCAGAAAGCTGGTTTTCGGGGTGAACATGGAGTTCGGTCCGCCATAAGCAGCTTTTGATGCGCGACCAAAGGTGATGAAACCGTCCCCCTCGACCTGTAAGTGTTGTTTATTTTATTTTCCACATTGACGGTGGTGAAACGACGCTTGCTAGACGAGGAACTCGGACTTTGCATACTTTTACCGACCTATTCCATATACAATTCAATTGCGATCTCTGTGTACGATCATGCAGAAAATTATCGACCATATCATTTATCTTACGTCAGAATATGCGGCTCCTGTCACCGCGGCCTTCCCGGCGCCACCGCTTGCTGGTAAAGTGGAGGTCGCAGTAAAACTCCTGTCATCCGGCACGGTCGGCACGTTTTTCGGTGCGTAAAACCACTGTCCCGAGCTGGGCGCCACAGCAGTAGCGGTCGGTGCTAGTGGTCGCTTCTGGTCGTTGAAACTTGCCTGTTGCGAACCCTGAGAACATATGCATTGCAAATAAGTCTGGGTCTCGAAAAGTGCAGCCTGTCATGCGGAGTCTCGACCACATAAAAAATTGTGTTGCATCATTCCAAAAAGCTGCCCCCTTCTTACTAGGCAATAAAAGGCGGATGTGCTATGCGGGATAAAGAACATCACGAAGATTCCGCCCAGTCTGCGATGCTTCAAACGAGGAGTGTGGTCCACGAGATGCATGACAAGTCTTGCGAATGAATCTTCCAGGCACGACATATTTGCAGTGGATAGAACGCGCACTTGACCCCCCGCTCCCAGTCACGTCGCTCGAGGAGGAGCTGCTGGTAGCTACCGTCGACGGGTTCAACACACGCTGACTCCCGCTGCGCAGGATCACGCCGGGCTTGGGGTCGACAGAGGTTGTAGAGGTCGTAGTCTTCGGCTTTTCGGGAGCGTTAGTGTCGTCCAGCGACGGAGAAGAGGCGGACGAAGTAGAGGAGGACGAGAACACGTGATCCAGTTTCGACGGTATTGCTCATTTTCAGAGACATATGCATCGCATCAAAATGAACACATGAACGAAAACATAAACAACACGTTGCATGCATGACATTCTTTGCATCACGGGAAGCAGTGCGACAGAACTTCTCAAAAAGAACTTCGCAAACCGTACGAAGCCCACTTAGTTACCTATACCTGCAACTCCCCCGTGACCACCTGCATGAACATTTTTTGAATCACGGCCTCGGCGGAGGTCCCAATCTCGCTCTGGTACTTTTTCAACTGCTTCTTCAGCGCCTGCAACGTCTCGCTCGTGTTGAAGTCCAAATTCTTCACGACGCCTTCCAAATGGTCGCGGTCCGCCCGGGAGAACACCGCGAATTCCTCAGCGGCTTGGTTGATCAGGCGTTGGAATGTGTCGTCGGCTAAGGCCTGGTTGAACAAAGACGTGATCTTCCCCTGCTGGTCGGCGTTGAGGCGGCTTAGCTCCCCGGACCACCACTTCTGCAGCTCCCCGCGCGCGGCCTCGTTCATCACGTGCATCCGCGTCATCACCGCGTCCGCGGTGTTTCGCACGACGGTTCCCTGCTCGCTCCCCAGCACGTGCACCAACTTCTCGCCGAAGTCCCGCCGGTAGGACAGGTCCCTCTTCTGCTTGTACTTCGTCTTCGCGGCCTTCACGTCCGATACGATGTCGCCCTTCGGAAATCCCTCCTTGCAAAAGGCCCGCGGGTGGTCGAACATCTGGTTCAAGAGGGTGATGAAGTCGCTCTCCTTCTCGACGCAGCCGCCCAGCTCCACGGGGACGAGTCCTGGATATGGATTCAGGTTTTGATATTTATAAAGCTTTCATTGCAGTTTTCATTCAAGTTGATTTCTGCATGTTGTTGTCCATGTACAAGAATTCACTCATTGATTCTACTTCGTGTGCTTACTTTCTATTTATTCGCCGAAACAAAGAAACTACGACTACACGTTGAAAACAGCGAGGAAGCTAACTAGAAGCAAGTACCTTGCGAGTGCATCTCCTGTGCCACAATATTGGCGCGGCGCAAAGCTACGGATCTGTCTGCGTACTTGTTGTAAAAAATCTCGACCGCTTCGATCACAGGTTGGCTCACTTTTGCAATCAATTCGTGGCCGTTGGCCGATTCCTCCCATTTATTTCCGTACCGCCGGAGCTTCTGCAGTAGATGGTATGGAGAGGAAAACAAAACAATGAAATTCTTGCTCGGATGAACAACGCGTGCTCATGGCGGGTATGCATGGCGCACGTCTTTCTTTCAACATCAAGGAATCGAAGCGATCCCTGGTTTCAGTTCCATATGCTACATCCCTTCCTGAAATCTGCATTGAAAAGTAACTACACGCGTCTCACAGGTCGTTGCGCTGAAGCATGCAGTGGTGTTCAGAGCAAGAGTTTCGGAATGATGCACCTTCACGTCGTACATCCCAAAGCGTTTTTATCTCGCCCCCCTTCGTGTAAAGCTCGCACTCCGACTCTGAAGTACTCATTTTTGCTTCTGTCCCGGAAGAAGGCTCAGACTAGTTTTAGAGTGAAAATCTAATGAGCACGCAAGATGCCCCTACGCTCCACTCTCTCAGCCCTTTTTGCACGCACTTCGCTAGTGCTACTCTTTTTCGATTCTAAGTCTTCGTTGGTAAGATGAGTCGTTCGACAACGTTGCATTGATTTCACCACTTTAAACCACGGCTACAGCAAGAGCACGACTCTCGTAGCAGGCACGCTCCATCTAGAAAAGGTAGCTATGACGACGTGCACGCCATTGAGTTTGACACGAGACCAGCAAAGGAATATAATTCCGCATAAGACCCTATCTGCACTCTCACTGCTTCTTCTCGCTCAGGACCAATTCGAGAGGCGATGGTCACAAACAGTAACAGATTTCGGCACCCGCGCGCATGACGCGCTCGTGTGTGGTACATGGCGCACTGTGAAAACACCACGGGCAGCAGACACAGTAGACACAGGGAAAACAATCCCGGGGGCCCATATCGGAGCGGCGCAGCGAGGGGTCCGCGCGCACCAGAACGGCTGCGCGGGCAAGACTGCAACATAGCACGCGGCCGAGTTCCTGGCGGCCCTAAAGCCGTTGGCCGCGTGCGGGGCCTGGTGCTTGCTGCTGCTGCGCCACCCACGGGCGCGAAACCGGCGGAGGCCGGCTGACGAAGGCGGGCGCGACGGACGCCAGGCGCCGCCCGAGCGAGAGACAACGCGCCCGGCCGGGTCAGTTTATTCGCTGCCCCCGCCAGTGCGGCGCCGGGCATTCGCTCCCCGAAAGCGGCACGGGGGGCCCCAGGCCCCAGCTCGCTAAGCAGCGCGCGGCCACTAAACTTCTCGTCTTCAATGGCGTGTGCCAATGGATAACTCGGCAGAAGGTTTCGGGGCCGCGTCACCGGCTCCAGCTTGCGTCGGGGCAAAACGAGAAAGGCGCGCCCCCGTTGGTTTTTTTCCGGATGCGGAAAAATTCTTATAACACGGAAAGCACCACGCCGAAAAGCGGGCGGCTTTGCCCTCACTCATACACGAGCCCACGAGGGAATAGTCGCCATTTTTCCTCAACGTCTCGGCAAGCACTTACACCCAGCAAGATTTGACTTGAGACGCTCTGTTCGTGTTTACAAATACGAACGCTGTCGCCCAGCGGCAGAGGCAGACTACCATAACATGGATACGCCTTCAGCATTTTCGTTACGTTTGGAACCCTCATAGCCCGACCTCAGGTGCGCACCGGACCCTCAGAACATCGCTCTGAAGCTAATTGTCGGAAAGATCTAGTATTCTTTTTCTTTATTTGTAAATTCCCACAACTCCGGCTGAACTAACTGACGTCGGTCTCTCCGGCTCTATGCCGTCTCAAGGAACGGCGCTCGAACAAAAACCAAGAGCCCCTTTTCGGTTTCTGTGGGTCTTGCCATTCGGCTCCGGTTCCGCGCGTAGCTGATGAACACCAGCGCCGACCTCTAGCAGCTGCTCGCGCTCATCATCATAAATCTAATTCATATACGTATAGCCTTAATGCAATAGTAATCATGATTCCCGAAGCAATGATTACTTCGGCACGGGGACAACTCGTATTGATAAGTAATCAGAGAAACGCAAGGAGGGACCGGCAACTCGCGCGGCAGGCAGTGAGGCCAGGCTGACAAACAGCCAGCCACCGGCGGCATTCGGCGGCGCCCGCTTGGGAGATCACATGGCGGCACCCCGTGGGGCTGCAAGACGGGAGGCAGCGCCCCACCATGGCCGCGGGCGACGCTCGCCCGGACGACTATACTGCGCCAACTTCCGACCGGGGAGGGTGACCGCCTCCCTGGCCGCACTGTGCATCCGCGGCCCGCCGCGTTTCCCGACGCCCGGCCGCCTTGCGAAATAGGGGCGGCGCTCCATATCCGGGGGCGAGTGGCGGCCCGATCCGGTTGGGTGCTCCTCTGCCCACGCAAAAAATTCGTACTTAATTTCGGCACTAATCGGCGAGCTCAGGGCGGCAGGCTCGCCACACCCGAGACCGGGCCGGCCGCCCGCTGATCGTTTCTGGGCGGGCCTTGGCACTTCCAGAGCCCGGAAAATAGTCTAAAGACACCGAGTCGCGCACGTTGTTTTGAGCTCTGGGCCTCATCACTTTTGGCACCCTCACAAAAATTTGCGCTCACTCCAGCTATATGCGAAGATGATGTATATTTATGATTATTTGCTGAGAAGACGTAGACGTCTTTACATATTTATAAGTAAAGTACTACGCTTTGCGCAAAACCATTACACTCCAGCTTGTCTTAAACCAGGCGGCAAGTAGTGCCCTGTTCGCTCTCACCCACTCTCTCAGTGCGCAATGCTGCCTACGGGGAGATTGTTGAACGAACGCAGCTTCGCGGCCAGACGGATCGCTGGAAAAGGCTTTGCACAGAGCCTGCACTTATTCGCCGTACAGGTAGATTCATTCTTTCGCGTACGAAACACAAGTCAGCAGCTATCTGTTTCTGTGCGGGCAGGATTAGCAAAAAAATCATCTTACACTGGTGGTTTTTTTTCGTTGGGATTGCTTTGTCGAGCTAATGTCGAAGATGCTCGATTTTCTTAAATATACATTTAAGTACAAAATACCACAAAATATTGCCCTGAAGCAGGGGGGCAAGTACACGTTGCAAAGTTGTAAACAAAAGTCCTGCAAGCCGGCCATTTCTATCCTCCCTGTCCCTGGCGCCAGCAGCAGCATACAAAGTATCTACAAGAATGTTCGGTGACACCAAACAACGAGAGATACTGGTGACAAGTGTGGAACTTACAAGTAGTTCTTCATCTTCTTCAAGTTCAAGTCCAACCCAAACAGATAGATGTTAAAGTTAAAGACAGAATCTTCATTTTGCAAAAGGTTTACCCGCACTCCTGTGGTTCATTGCTATTGTACATCCCTATTCAAATGCAAACTCAAGTTGCTCCCCAACACAATTGAAACCAAGCTCCTGCACGTTTACATCGTCAGCTGGTCCTAACGGCGGACGATGGTGCGACGTCAGAATCGGCTGTCGACTGGGTTCCGCTCGAGCTCGCGACTTTGGACAGCGACTGTCGGGGAGCGGCGCCGCTGCTCTTGTGCTGATGGTGGTGTGCACTACTTCCTTCAATCACAGGGGGATTCCGCGTAGCACCGGCACTACTACTTTTCTCAGGGCTCTTCCCAGTCTTTCCGCTAGAGTCTCGTGGCAGCAATCCCTGTCCACCACCGCCCTTACCGGAATTCCCCTTTCGTTGTTGGCCATAGGGGCGACTACCATCCCCAGTGCCGCTACCGCCACGGTTTGCGTTACGTAGTGGGCCCTTTCCCGCCTGATGACCGCCTCCTCGTCGGTGATGGTGATCGCACTGTTGCTCCCCGCTTTTCTTGCCACCACCTACAGTCACTGCATCCTTGTTCTTCATCCCCTTGTACCGCTCGCGCCGCGCTGCCGTATGGGGCGTGCTGTTTGGTGTCCCTGTACGTGCTGTACCGCCGTACCCGGAACTGTTTGGTGTCCCTCTCGCGGAGGAAGCGTGTTCGGAGCCGCAAGCAGCCGATGCTGGGGCAGTCGCAGTAGTACTGTTCTGCGTGTCACTGTTGATGTGGCTGAGCACCAAACTCAACTGCTCCGTCACTTGCTCCAGCTTCTTGTTGGTCTTCTTTGCGCTGCTTTCGATCGAGGATTCAACCGACGCACGACCCGATGCGATCGTCTCATTCAGCGCACTCAGACCCTGCAAGTGCCTGTTTTCCGCGCGGTCGTCAACATCCGAGATTTGGTTCCGGAGAGCCGAAGATTCCCGCTCCACCGCGGAAAGAACACTCCCCTGCACCGCCTCCAATCTATCGCCAACTTGGTTCAGGAGCTGGTGCGTAGTCTGGACGTCTCCGCCGATCTGCTGCACCGAATCCTGCACGGCCTGGAGTCCCCGCTGGGTACTATCCCCTTGTTCTTGGATCTCGTGGTGTAAGTCGTGGCCGACGGCTTGCACATGCTCGTGCAGCCCTTGCGCTTCCACCTCGACTTTTTTGTTAATCTCGTCGCGTACGTCGGCCAGGTGCTCGTGCAGTCCATTGAGCCCCGAGTCGAGCCGGCGTACGGCAGCGGAAATCTCGCCCACGTCGCCGTCCATCGCCGACAGAATCTGGGAACGTCAGTTTTATCGTGTGTAAGTAGGCTCGGAAAGGGTGGAATTGCAAGCTCTCGCGCAAAACAAAATTGTAATACGCACACACATAGAAAAAAGCAGATCATTGATACGGAATTGAATGGTTCCAAAACCAGACGACAACAGAAAAATGTAGAATTTATTTACCTGAAGCGCCTTTGCAGTGTCAACCCTGGCCGCTATTTGCGCTTGCCGTGTCGGATCCATTGATGTCCACGCTTTCTCCGCCACAGCTGCGGCGTTTTTGTAGTTGCGGCGCGACTTGAGCACAGTGATAATTTTATCGATCCCTGCAGCCGGGTGGGACTCGATCCAATTGAGCATGTTGTAAAACATTTTCACCGTTACTTTAATATTCCCTTCGGCTTCTGCACTTGGAATGAAATCTGTTTCATTTTCGTTTTTTGCATTACAAGTTCAAAGTTAGTAATATGCGTCTTCTTGGTCTACTTCCTTGCATCTGACACGAAAGGGTTTTTTTCCATTGGAGTGAAGATCAAAGATAGAACAATGTTGTACCGGCGATGAGCATGTGGGCGGCCACCTTATCCGCCCAAAGCTTATCGTTGTAGTCTCGCGTCAACTTCTCAAAGAAGTTTACGGCTGCCGAAATCACTCGTCCATCCAAGCTCCGGCGGGTCATCTCCCTAAACAAGTCCTCCGTAGTGAAGTGTGTAGCGGTGTGCTGTATTTACAGTTTTTGAATGAGTAGTTGAAAATCATATTTTATCCGGTACAACTACGTCTTTCAAAACTACTCTCTCGGATCCCATTTCCGGTACTGCAGTGGTGTGGCATGATATAACTAAGACACAAGATCAAAACTCGTTTGTACTTGTTGCTCATCCAGCATTTTCGCAATTTCCGGTGCCAGTGCAACACTTCGATCTTCGCTACAAGCCGGTTCGGGCGCCGACAAGCTCTCGAGCATTTTCTCCTGCACCATTTCCTCAGCCCCACCGACATCCTCTATTAGATCTCCGGTCACGAGTGGCATGCTTATTTTCCGCGGGCCGGAGTGGACCTGCAGTGCCGTGATTCAGCGAAAATAAAAGCGCAAGGAGGGCGGGGAACGACCTCCTTTACCGCGCACACGTGAGCAGGAATGGTTGCCATGTTGACCAAGCACTGCTTTCGTTCTATGATTTCGAGTTCGACATATCTAGCTTTACTAAACATCGTCTGCATTTCCTTCTACGTTCTACACTTCTTGGATCATCTATCATGCTAAAGCACCAGTAACTCAACTCGTACAGTGAAGGTCCGTTTCCTCGCCGGGGGCGTTCTGTCACACCAGGTGTTGCAACCCTCCAGATTGTCGTGGTTCACCAAATCAACCTGTTCGGCGACGAATACCTGCTCTGCGGAAACCAGTTTCCCGGAGCCCCCGACTGCCAGCTGCGCACTGCTTGACGGCCCATCCACCATCGGCGTTGTACAGTGCGTTGTCATGTCTTCGCTGCTCGTCCCGATTTCCAGCTCTTTCTCCTGCGAGGGAATGCCGGGCTGCGTTTCGAATGGAGAAAAGCCCCGCTCGTCGGCGTCTTTTTTCGAGCCTCCGCCAGTCGACGGTGTTGAAGCGTCGATGGGAATTAGGCTCGGCGACAGTACTGGTCCGTGTTCTTGCAGTGGCGAGTCTAACCACGATTCCGGCGTCAAGCCGGGGCGCGGGGGCGTCGTCGTGGTCAGTGAATTCATCACGAATGGAATGCTCTGGTTACTCGCTGGCGGCGCGTGCACATCTTGTACTAATGGGAGTAGCGGCTGGGCTTGTAACAACTGCGGGAAGGCAATCAGATCCAGCTGGTCTTGGACCGAATAATTCGTGTTCGCTCCTGCCGGCTGAGCACTGCTGTCGCAAGCGACACCTGGTTCGTTGTGCCCCGCACCCGGCTGCTCCATCAGAACCTTTCGTGGACCTCCTATTTCCAGCGGCCAAATAAGCGATTGCAGATTCTCGCCCGAAGACGGCACAGCAAAATTGTGATCTCAGTTTGCTCTTCTGTTTCTTGTTGCGAAAGTTATTCCAGGTTTTCCGACAGAAAAAACTTCCTCCTAAGTATTTTTATTTTGAAGATATCGAATTGAAACGCACAGAACGAGTTCCCATATGTTGCGCATTGGTCGCTCGTCGATTTGTGCACTTTGCGACTGCTCCCCTTTACGTTGATGTTGATGATGCTGCTTTCCCTTCTCCGAAATACGACTAGACGAGCACGACGACCGAGAGAAACTTAAATTCAGAAGTCCAGTTGACCGAACGGTGAAATCCCTCGACGAGATAGTTGCTAACGCATTTGATCCGATTTACACCTGTCTGTAGTTGGACGGCTTGTATAGGCATGTGTACGTTGAGGCTTCTAACCCTAACGAAGAGATAATGACACACATCTGAAGGAACACGGAGATTTACGTAAGTAACGCCCAAACCGTTTCTTTTGCACCGTTGAACACCATTTCCCTGGTGCATTCGTAGTTACTGATGATGCTTAAAAATGGCACTCAGCTTGTTCAAAAAGGCGCTACTTCACGCACTACGAAAGCATGATGAGCTGCGTCGGTGGACAAAAGAAAATCTGGCGCGAAGTCTCCTTTCGCTTCTCCTCTACCAGCAGCGAAATAGAGCCGTCTGGTACTTCTGCTTCTGCCTAGACGAACAAATTACTTCCTCACGCAGCAGCGAGATAGAGCCGTCTGGTGATTCCGTCTCCTCGTCTTATGTTATCGACCAGCAGCGAAATAGAGCTGTCTGGTGATTTATCTGCCGCCTCGGAACTACTTCTTCAGGACCAGCAGCGAAATAGAGCCGTCTGGTACTTACTTCTGCTTCTGCCTACTCGAACAAATTACTTCCTCACGCAGCAGCGAAATAGAGCCGTCTGGTGATTCCGTCTCCTCGTCTTATGTTATCGACCAGCAGCGAAATAGAGCTGTCCGGTGATTTATCTGCCGCCTCGGAACTACTTCTTCAGGACCCAGCAGCTAAATAGAGCCGTCTGGGCATTGTGCTTCCACAGGACCAGCAGCGAGATAGAGCCGTCTGATCGTTGTGCTTTCTCGGGATTACTTCCGCACGAACCAGCAGCAAGATAGAGCCGTCTGGCCATTGTGCCTTCTCACAAATTTTTCCGCACAAACAAGCAGCGAAGTAGAACCGTCCGGCTATTGCGCCTCCTCGGAGTTAGGTCCTCATGAACCAGCAGCGAATAGAGCCGTCTGGTTACTTATTCTTATTGCGCCTCCTCGGAACTATGTCTTCATGAACCAGCAGCGAGATATAGCCGTCTGGTTATTCCGCCTCCCCGGGATGACTTCCGCACGGGCCAGCAGCGAGATAGAGCCGTCTGGCGGTTGTGCTTCCTCGGGATGACTTCCGCACGGGCCAGCAGCAAAATAGAGCCGTCTGGCGGTTGTGCTTCCTCGGGATTACTTCCACGTGGGCCAGCAGCGAGATAGAGCCGTCTGGCGGTTGTACTTCCTCGGGATGACTTCCGCACGGGCCAGCAGCGAGATAGAGCCGTCTGGTTACTGTGCCTCCTCGGAGTTGTCTCTTCTTCAGCCAGCAGCGATGTAGAGCCGTCTGGCGATTGATTTATCTCCTCCACCTCCGATTTACCTCCTTATATGCCAGCAGCGAAGAAGAGCTGCCTGGCCATTTTGTCTCCGCGGGACTGCTTCATCAACCAGCGGCGAAATATGGCCGTCTGGCGATTTTACCTCCGCGGGACTGCTTCATCAACCAGCGGCGAAACATGGCCGTCTGGTGATTTTACTTCCGCGGGACTGCTTCTTCAACCAGCGGCCAAATAGGGCTGTCTGGTGATTCTATCTCCGCGGGACTGCTTCATCAACCAGCGGCCAAATAGGGCTGCCTGGTGATCGTCCGCCAGCAGCAAGATAGCGCTGTCTGGCGATTCCACCTCCTCACTATTCCTCCTGACCCAGCAGCAAAATAGAGCTGTCTGGTAATCGTAATTGCGCCACAACCTCACCAGCGGCAATACAGAGCAGCTGTCTGGTGATCGTCATTCCGCCTCCTCACCAGCGGCAAAATAGAGCTGTCTGGTGATCGTCATTCTGCCTCCTCCACCAGCGGCCAGATAGACCCGTCTGGCGATTGTTCCACCTCCTCACCACTCCTCCTGAACCAGCAGCAAGGTGGAGCTGTGTGGTGGTCGTGATTCAGCCTCCTCAGCAGCTGAAGATCGGGGTCGCTGATGATTGTTCTTGCGCCTCTTTACTATTCCGTTGTAATAAACCAGCAACAGCATAAAGCCGTCTGGCGTAAGCACAGCTGCTGCTCCTCTTTTCCCTTCGCCCCGCGGTGTAGTTACTACCGACAGGACGCTCGCAGGATCCTCACCCGGGCCATCTTCACGACGTGGTTATCGAAGTGTCAGCACGCTGCTCCCCCTCGTGCTCCCCCTCTGGCTATCGATCAACTGCTGCCCCTCCTCGTGCCATCCCGGTGCTTTGCGGTGTGGTTACCGACAAGGCAATCGCGGCTTTTTGTTGCGTATCCGCAGCTGCTTCTCCTCCTTCTGTCCTCGCGTTCAGCGGGTACCGATACCGGCCGCACCGCTTCTTTAATTTCAGGGCCCGCACCTTTTTCCGAGCGCTTCCTACGGTCGGGAAGGCTGACTGCAGGTGCCCGCTGCGCCGGTTGTGCGTTAGGTCGAGCGCTTCCTACGGTCGGGAAGGCTGACTGTGCCCGCCGCACTGCTGGTCCAAAAGCGTCAAGCACTTCCTACGGTCGGGAAGGCTAACGTCGAAGGCTGGCGCAGTGCTAGTGCAAAAGCGCGATGCCTAGATAGAAGGCGTTGTCGCGAAGCCAGTGTTTTCGCAGAACTGCTCCGTGTGCTGCCTTCAATTTGCGTCGCATTCTACAACTTGTTTCCCCTCGCATAGCCGGAAGTGGAATTACGTACAACCGCAAAGGACGTCCTTCACTACTCCCCATAGCAAAGGCTCATCCTGGGCCGACGCCGCAGACCGCGTGTCGCATGAATACATGGCGTGGTCCGCATTGTCCTCGGTCCGACAGTAGGACTACAGATATTGTGTTCACTGTTGCCGCTTCTTTTCCACGAATACTGTCGAAGACGCTCGGTTGAAACGTCACAGGAAAGCCTCAAGCAGGGTTCTGCTTTGCTCGGAGATGGCCAGCAGTAGAAGTTGCTTCTGCCGCTGACGATGCTGTTGCTCTCGGTATCTCCGTTAGAGGGCTGTCGTGTTCGGATGAACGCGCACAACTAAATCTCGGAAAAAACCAGTCGCATCGCCGTCTCCTCAGGGGTCTCTGGCTGTGTGACGTATTGATCTACATCGTGCATCAACTCCATTTTGCAACGACGCCTGCCGACGGATGCAGCATCCAGTGTTGGCTACCGTACGTGCCAGTGCCGCACCCGACTTGTGTCCTCCAGAAGCAGGTGCGAGAAAGCTGCCACGGACAAACTGTTACAGGGACCGCTGTCGGAGCTTCAAATTGCACCTCTGGGGCCTCGCTCCTGCATCGCCTTCCATCTTCACAGACGACTTTTTTGCAGTTCCCGCTGCATCCCGAAACCAGACCTCCACATTGCCACTGTCACTTATTTTTCTTTTCTCTTTTTCGACTTTTTTCTTTTCGATTTCTTTTTTCTTTTTCTTTTTTTTCCATGGGCCATTGTTGGATGTTCTTTTCTGATTTTTTCTTTTCCTTTCTTTTGCCCTATTTTTTCTTGTGACTGGCGTGGGAAAGTGCCGGCGCGAGTGCGGCGACGCCAGGTGAACCATCACAACGAGCAAGTCGTGTCTGACGCGTGATTCTTGCTGAAAAATAAGCCGCTGGTTCGGAGGCATCGGAACTGGATGTCCCTGCAACTCGTTGAGCTCGGGCTGACAGGGTTCTTACGTGCCTGGTCACGAACTCGCAGTTTCCGCTGGTGGGTCGCTCTCGACGTCCTGCAGAACGGCAATACAGGAGAGATGCGCTCGAGCCACTGTCGCTTTCAAATCTGCAATTTTCTAGGCGAAACTGCCGCATGATGGGCGAATACCGGTGCTGTTACACTGCTGCATCGCTGAACACAGCGCGGCCGTCACTGCGGGCTTCGGTCAGGAAGGCGATCTCCCTAGCGGAAAAATGAATCGGCCGGACCTCCTGCAACCGAGACCAGCATTCCGGAAAGCGACCTCACTTCAGGGTGCTTCTTGTTGCCATGAGTTGCGTACTGACTGTAAAGGGACAGGCTTAGCTTGTTGATTCGGGGCTATCAAATATCAATGTCAGCATATCTGAGTCTGAAGATGCTGTCGCAAAGTAGAAATACTGTCTGTCAAAGTACGTTGCAATTTTGAAAAAAGTAAGCTGAAGACGCGCGGCTGCCCTTGGGCTTTTTTCTACCTTACCTTCTATATTACACGGTATCAAGGGGGTACCTCTAGTATAGAAAAAAAGCGCCCTGTTGCGTGGTATTATTGCAAAAAGAAGGAGTAGGAAGAACAAGAGAGGAAGTCTTGGTTACAGAAAAATGCGTCGGAGCAACGGAAGAGACCAACGAATACGAGACGGTTGCACGAAAGGGTGTATTTCTGGCTGTGTGACATGTCTGGACAAAAACTTCTAAATAGATGCGCAATAAATTTCTGGTACGAGGACGTACTAGTAGACAATGTTGCCACGCACGATGAAGGTGTACGAAAAGACGAAACGACGGTACTGCAGGGAAGTCAGGAGGGTTCTGAAATTTTCACGTATTTCTCTGCTAACGGAGACAGAATACGATGCACGCCTGGCAGTGCGGGCGAGAAGCTGCCGTGACGACCTGCTTACGAACGGGAGAAATAATCGTAAAAAATCTCTGTAGTTTCTACCACGACTAAATACGAGACTTCCTGACGAAGGCCGAGCTTAAGGACTCCTCTGAGACTGGTGCGTAAACACGACAAAACACAAAACGCCATGTCGGGAACGAAGAACATTAATGTAAGAACAAACTTGCGAGACGCACGCTGTTGCGGATCCGTTTTTCCACCAAAAAAAAAAACTTGTCATCATGAAAACGGAAAATTAAAACGAAAACCTTCAAAAAGAATATAAAACGTTGCGGTCTGTCCTTTGTTCTGATGATGATCCTGCATGCGATGAGGTGAGATTCACTACGTTCCATGTGAAAATGCGCTTGTGTTTTCGGTGCTGATACTCACTGACGATGATACGGTGCTGCAGGATCGGTCCAAAAGATATATTCATATGGCTCGAAATCGAAAAAAAAGGACACACGATCAAAAACTGTGTAAATTATGAACGGGGGACGAGACGAAGGAAATGGGTGGTTCGAATTCATCATACTTTTAGTTTTACATTTACATTTACGTAGCGTAGGGAAAAAATAAAAAGGAATACGGAGTTCTAAAATTTGTTTTTGCACTGTGGTCTGAAAATACAAATTAATTGACAACAACGCAACAAGGGGGAAGAACGGAGGGAATAACGGACGAATACATCGCAAGAGAAATAGTCAAGCACTTCTCTCGGCTTTGATATGCGTTTTGATTTTGCCTGTTGCGCTTTTGCACTTTCTTGAAAACCATGATTAAGTCCCCCCTCTTCATCGTTTCTGTGCGTCGCTCGCCTCGTTTCGTCGTGGTTCCGAGTTCTACGCCGGTTTTTCGGCTCGCCAGGAATGCGGCAAATTTGCTCGCCGTAAGAAGATGTTGCTTGCGGGTTGTAGTAGTAAGACCAGAGACTCGGGGAGTTCACGGGCTTGTCACACCCCGTGAAAAGCTTGCAAGGAAATTCATCCTCCAAAAGGCTACTGTCCTCGCCGACGGAGTAGAACTCACAGTAATTGGTCTCCTCGCACAGCTGCTTGCACACGTTGTTTAAAATTGTGAACGCTCCCGGCTTAATGTCGTTCGATCCGGATTCTCGTGAGAAAAAATTCTCCTTCATCCCCATGCCCTTCCAAGCGAACCCTTGTTGTCACGGCGTTGATCATTCTTGGCGAGCCGATACTCAGCAGCTTTGTCAGCACGTTGCATACTTAAGTCGTTTTCTTTTACACGGGAAGCAAGAGCAGCGGAAACAACCAGAAAGGATTGATTTTAATCAACAGGAGACCATCTGCAAAACATCCGCTTGGGGCGGTTCCAGTTCCTTCAGTAGAAATAGAAAAGTAGACATCCGGCATGCTATCTGTTAGGATTTTGGCATGATGAGCAGGGAGAAAACTCTGTTCCTTTCGATATGGAACCCTTCACCGTCACACCTGGTTGGGAGTAGCAAGTAGCAGAACCGCTCGCTGGTGCCACGGAGTCAAAGTCTTTTTTGAGTCCCACCTCAACCAACGGGTTGTAGTGTCCGTCGGCGCTGTATGCATGTGTAAATGCTCCCCATCATCTGGTAATCCGGGTAGTTTGTTCTAAGCAGGAGCGAGCAGCGTGATTATTTCTGTCACGTGAAGATTCAACCAGGTTGTAGTACCGTCAATCATGAAAACCGAAAACGTTGAGGTCGTTGGCGGTAATATACAAACTTTTTACGGTTTTCCTTTTCGAAAAGCAGGCGCAAGTATAAAAGTCAAGAGAACTTGGAAGGCGGCCGAACAACATGTACAAGCTGCCTGCGGACGACCAGTGTGTAGATACTGAGGCCTGTAGTAGTTCCTGCTGGGTCGGTATACGAGAATCGCGACGACCTTCCGTCGCGCTGCGTTGTTGCTATTGATGTATATTGTTTTCTTTATGTCCTAAGATGCAACAAGCAAACGCCGTCACCTTGCGACTACAAATCCATACCCGTAGACCAAAGTCGTGGCCGAAGAGCGGAGTGTGTGAGGGCAGGCTTGTTGGAAAAAAGTACTTCCGGAGCGATGTGGGAGAGATTTGGCACGCTATGGATACTTCAGGCTCTGCACCCTCCCTATTAAGAACGAGCTGACAGTCACATGTTTGCCCCACGGGAAAATTACAGAGATTAACTTCAGTCGTTGTTGTGGTTGTCGTGGTGGTACTCGCGGCAGTAGGGGGGGCTGGGGTACTAGAAGAAGTCGCTTCAGAAATCGCTTCAGAAGGGGCCACCGGCTCTGGTGCTTCAGAAGTCGCTTCCCCCTGTGCAGCAGCTTTATCAGCCCGCCGCTCATCCGATGACGCACCGCCCATTGTTTCTCCGTCTCCGCCTCCGCTGGTGTGGAGCTCCGCCTCCTGCACGCTGGCGTCTCCGCCCGCAACAATTGGAAGGTTTGGGAGCGGCGTTGCCGACTCGGGTGGCGCACAGCCGGCCTTCTCCTTCTTCCGCTGTTTCTTCGTGAAAAGCTGAAGCAAGACATTCGACGAGGCAGCACCAGCTCCAGCGTCATGCCGGCGACGTTCAGTTGCGATGTTGCCGGGGCGACCCGCAATAGGCGCTCCAGAATGCTTCATCTTCCGGTGTTCTTTGTGCTTCAAGATCGTGGCCGTGTAGCCGTAGCCCGGCTGTACCAGGTTGCTGAGGGAACAACCCAGCAAGACGACTGCACCACCAGCAATGGATCCGCCGCCCAACGTCGGCCGAGAGCCGCGGCGCAGCTCGGAGTTTTTCTTGCGGTCGTGTAGTTCAGAACCAGGATGATCATCGTCATCAACATCATCTCCCCGGAACATCAAGCAGACGTCGTTCACAATAATCTCGTTGTCCCGTTCCACACCCGGTGCCACACGAGCGGACGCGGCATTGTTCTCCAACGGAAATACGGACGACATTGTGGTGTGGGTAGAAGTTCTCTGGTTTTTCTTTTTAGATTATTCGACCTAGTTCTATCGATACCGACGAGCGAAACAAACGAAGAGGACGCAGACCCTTGCGACGGTTTTGCGAAGATTTATTTTCCGAGGTATTTTTAGCGGTAAACGGGCCAACAGGATTGTCTCTTGTTCGCTTGTTGGGATTGTGACTCAGTTTTGCGAAAAATTCTACCTACTCGAAAGGGCAGCGAGGGGGGTGGTCAGTCGGTTTCTGATTGATGAGTTGGTGGGTTGCTTCGGCTTCTTCATGAAAAAGAACTTGCTTCTACCTTTGAAATAAATACTTTATCACGATACCAGCGAACGGTCAGTGAAGTAGAAAACAATTTCAATTACCCGACTTTAGTGATAGTGCCCTTTCTCATTTACAAACGAGAACGACGCAACGAGGCTTCAACGTAAGCAAGCGGTGTTTTGCAACGTTCGTACGATTAACCGACAGACCCCGTGGTCGGGCATTGGGTCGAACGACGTCAGTATGCAGACAAGCTTACCACGCACGATGAAGCAAGGTGATGCACGCACAGACGATGAAGTGACGCCAAAAAGGGTTTTCAATTCTTTATTTTTCCGGAGTTCTTTATACGGAAACGAAATACAACGTGCTGGCGGAAAGTCTTAACGACCGACCGACGAACGGGAGAAAGAATCTCACAAAGTCTATGTTTCTAGACGCGACTAAGTACACGAGTTTCATCTCACGAAGGCAGGGTTCAAGAGCTTCGGCTTCCTAATTGGCTGCATATAAGACGGCAGGAATAAACGCAATGCCCACGTGAGGTATCGCGCATGCGCTCGCGCACTGCTTAGTGCGGCCATCTCTCTTAAGCTTGCGAAAAATTGGCATTTCCACGAGAAAAAAACCGCCACGAAAAGAACACGGGAGCGACAGGGCAGACCAGGAGCCGATCCATACTAGCTGGCAGTGACTGAGCAGCCGCAGGTGCACCCTCGAGCCGGACGAGAGCTCCTGCAAGTTTTCTTGAGCGAACATACGAAGAATCTGCCGGGCGAAATGCTCTCAGCGACTTGACAGGAAAGGCACACGAACAATTTTCTTGTCGTTCGTTCTCGCTGTTCATGTTCATTGATTGCAAAATGCAATATAAAGAATCAAAGTTCAGAAAAACGAAACGCGTCGCGAAACAGAAACAGTCTGTAGATGTTTTGAAAAGTGAAAGTTGGGCATTTCTTCTGTTTTTGGCGAAAGAAAAAGGCTGAAGAAAAAATTGTCATTTGCTAGTAGTCTGCAGTCCTTTCTGGGAATATCGAAGTCCGGTAATAGGAAAATCTGGACGTCAACAAAAATACCCGGCAAAAATCGTGGGGAACGATCTCTCAGTGACTCTTTGGTACAGGCACAAAACATTAGTAGTACACATTGCAAAAAAGTCAATTGTGTGCTCGCTTCATCTTCAGACGAGTCGGTAACATGATTGTTTAGCGCATTGCAAAAAAATCAAAATTGAATTTGAAACTTTTTGCTGAACGCAAAAAAAACATTTCAAATTGCTCACAGTCAGACCACTTGCTAGTTCTGAAGTACAGGTAAAAGCTGTCCCAATAAACCATGCATTTTCACCATTGTTCCTTTCCCCAGAGGCGGCGGTGGCGGGAAACAAGATACAAATGATCTGTTGCACGGCAAGTCTTCTACAAAGTATCGGAATCACAAAGTATCGGAATCAGCATAGCCCAGGCACAGCGAAAATTCCCTCATAGCAGAAGCAGTCCTCGCTCCGCCAGCGGGTAATGCGTTGATAAAATTTACTAAGAAGACGGTCACAACGTTTAAAACCACAATTTGATTAAATCTTACAAGTCTGTCCCAACGGCATCCTCTGCAATTTTAGCCTAGCAGTATTTGGGTATCTCGTTCGAAGACGACATGCAGCGGAATTCTACTTTACAAAAAAGTAGGTGGAAGCCCTTCAATTCAAATTTCAGTAAATGCAAAGCGAAACAGCAAGCGTGCATTACCCCTGTATTTCCTTTGGAAGGTCCGATCTGAAACGGAATTGAATCTACCCGAAACAAAAAGAATAAGAAACCAGGTTCGAATACAAAAACAAAACTTGTACAATAGGCTTTTTAGTGCACGCAAAATGGTCCCGTGACTTCGGGTCGCTGTGCTCCTGATTTCGCAAACCCTCCTCTTCGGTTAAACTCTGCCCCTAAAAATATCTTCACCGCAGTAGTCACCACTGCTGCGTGCGGCAACCCAACGCGAGTGATCTCGATCAGGTTTTCGTAGATTTCCCCTACCGTGATCGGAGCAGCTTGTAGGTGGATGTCAAGCGCATCGGCCAGTTGTCGCACGCCACTGTAGTAGTGCAATGGAAGCTGGTTGACGCAGTCGTCGAATTTCGGAAGGGCGTCCTGCTCAATGTATCCCAGTGAAGAGGAGCATACCATATTCAAAATGATTTGCATGTAGGTGCTTTTTTGTGCCACTATACGAAATTTTCCTGCGAATGAGCTGGCAAAACAGGTGGTTCTATTTTAATGCAAGAAGGCAGAGGCTGCAAATGAAATGCCGAGTAACCCTCAGATAGAGGCGAACAAATTTCTGTACAATGACAAGGTAGTGAGATGACGAAGGATTTCGAACACGGTATGGGTGCACTTGTTCTCTTTTGATACGATGGCGTCACCAATTTCCGGGTAGTGCTGCTGTATGAGGCTGCCGTACCGTTCGCAGTTCACCAGCTGCACGAAGTGGTCGTAAAAGGGATGCTTCCAGCACTGGATCACTTGGAGTGACAGATTGGAGAAGCACCGACGCAAACTCAGATCGTTGTGCGCGGTCCAGCCCGGTGGCATCCGAATGCAGGCAAACGCTTTAATGACCGGAACCAGATTTTTCTCCGTCGTCGCGTCAGCCTCCAAGTACGTAAAGCAGTCCGCGAGAGTCGGCCTGTTTTGTTCCGATTCTCCGTGGTGCACATGATGAAAATCAGAAAAACATAAAAAATATAAAACCCGCGCACGACGACTATGAATATCAATATTTCTACTTTAATCGATGTGGGTGAAAATGCGTAGAAGTGAACACCTTCCCGACGAGGCGCCACTGCAGTGCAGATACCAGGACGGGTCATACGGCGTTCCCAAAACGCCGTGCTGTAGCAGGAGGTCAAGTAGATCGGGACGTGAGTACCTGGAAGGTCATATGGAAACGATCCTCTTTGAACAGTGAAACAGAAACTGAGTAAAGTGCATAAGTACCCAAGCCCATCCGCATTCATCATGACATGAGCACGACTGACATATTGGAATAAAAATGAAAATAAGGCTAGAAACCTCATGTGTTCAGCCACTATCGCGTTCCAGTCCTGCAACAGTTGCATGTTCACTTGGTGCACCTCAGTCGCATTCGCCGCGGAAGCCATTCTATGTTCGTCAGAACCGTCCGGAGAACTGGTGATCCGCGCAAGCTCCTGCTCCTTCAGGGCTGCAAGTGCCAGAGTCCAACGCGCCATGCACTGTGCAAGTATGCTACGGAAAAGTAAGCCCAAACCGTAATCCTAACCAACATAATGCATCTTGCATAAAAGAATCAATATAGAAAAAGTAAATTCATTTGGCCGGTGTTTTGCTGTCATAAGAAACGCTCTCTGCAGCCCCATGCGGACGCGAGAGCACATTGTCTGTCATGCAAGATAAAAAAAAAGACAAGCAAAAGCGTCTTGAAACACAGTCATACTCAACAGCCCAAAACAAATCTTTATTTTTGTCGTATCCTAACATAAACACTGAAACAGACATGCAATGCGAGTGTAGTATTCGAACACGGTACGGGTCTACTTGGATTTTTGTGTGGTAGAAAGGTTCTGCAATAACACCGCGGAGGCGGAAGCCGCTTCGGCGGCCGGGCCCGTACCTGCGGATTCACGCGGTGCTTCGGTCTCGGGTGGACCGACGGCAAACACCGCGGGGTCGGCTGCGCCAGGGGCGTCGTCCCTCGGCCCGCTCACGGGCAGGGATGCGGTGGTACTGGCGTCAGCAAGGAGGTCCCTCCCGAAATCGTCCACCATGCGGCGGACGACGGTGCTCGTGGCTATACCAAGCCCAGCACGCCGGTGCCGCTCCGCCAAGAGCACGGAGCCAGCAGCGCCGCAATTGCCAGCGCCGCAATTGCCAGGGGTTCCTTGTATGCGAGATACTCCAAAACCGAACCCATGACATGAACCCGGTTGCAGGGCTTCGGTCCCCGTCGCCCACCCTGGTATATCCCCTGCAAAAATGTCTGGGTCTGGAAAGGTTGATGAACCAAAAATCTGTATTGCACAGAGCTGCAAAAGCACCACAATCTCGTCACGAAATAATGCGTGCTGCGCAGGAGAAAGCGATTGAAAAACTGTTCATGCTCCGCTGCAATTGAAGGCACACGCACACTCAATCATGATGACCATTCAGCATTACAAGTTTCCAGACCCGGAGATATTTGCAATGCATATGGTACCAGCGGCGGAGCGCCTCTTTATCAGCCAAGTCGGTACTTCTGATGGTGGTCGGGTGGATCAGCTCGACCTTGTCCCTCAGTCCAGCTACGCTGTTCTCGATGCACTCGAGGAGGATTCCGAAGATCACATTTGACTTCGAGAGGCTCAGCATGTCCTGATGCTCGTCCAGACACAGTTTCAACAGAAGCTCCAAAATCGCGTCATTCAGCTTGGAGTCTCCCCATTGTGCCATCAGCCGCAAAACCGTCTGCGTTTCAATCGCCATACCACTCTCCGTCTCCGACAGGACGACGTCTTCGAGCATCGAGCACACCACCTCCAGCTCGCGTTTGAACACGACGTACCACTCCGCGTCCACCTTGCTGGGAAAGCCCACGGTCGTTGCGTCCGCAAAGAATTCGCGGGCTGGCGGCCCGTCGAGAGAAATGGCGGTCATCACCTTGTCGTGCAATTGTTTCGGTTTCCCGACTGCACCACCGTTTGGCGTTCGCCACGTGCCAAAGCGGTAAACCACCGATCCCGGCTTCCTCGCGCGCAGCCTGCTGGCGTTTCCAAGCAGAACCTTCTCCCGGAATTCGGCGTAGTCAAAGGTGTCGCTGCCGAAGTACCGGAGCGTGGCAGTGCGGACCACCCCGTCGGGCGAGGCGTAAGTGTAACCCACCTTGACGCGCCCGGTCTTGTTGCAGGGGCGCGTGAAAGCTCCACGGCCAAAAGCATCGGTCATCGCTTTGGCCTCCCGTTCCACATCGCTGACACTCCTGTCCCGGCCGGCGTCGAACGCCGCGGTGAAGCTCCCGGGCGCCCTTGAGCTCGCTAATCTGCGCCCCCACGAGAAGAGCAAGCACACCATCCAAAAGCGTGAAGGCCCCCTCGTGTAACCCCGCCGCCCTGCAGACCCGTTCGACACTTTCGATGTCGCCCTTCGCAGTGCTGCCGCAAAAGATTACCAGCGCTTGTGGGCTGGAAGGCGTGTCCCTGGGGCGCAAAATGGACTGGACGTAGTCGGTGACGCCATTGGGGCGGTTCTGGTGCAACACGTGCTCGTAGAACTTCAGGCAGAACTGCAAGTCTACCCTTCTCACGTGGAGGTTGTATGATCCGGTCCATTCTTTAGCGAGTATCCACACTGCGTTCCGCCGGTGCTTGATGACCGACTCGTAGTACACCGACTTGACGCGCCCGTCGTCGCTGCTGACGTTCTATCACATGGAAAAAAGCTAGTACATCATGTTTCGCCGTGATGCAGAAGAATGCGAGGAAGGGATGTTATGGGCGGACCAAACCGTGGTTTTTAAGCAAGACAGAACGAATATTTCGGAATTTCGTGTAAGTATTGCTTCGTAAATTCAGTTTTGCATATGCAGATATGGTGTGCTAGCGTTTCTTTCGGGGATAGAGCCTCCGCCTCCTGTCCTATAATCTCCGCTTCCGACCATTTGCCTGCTGCTCCAGCGTTGGACAAGCTGTCTCTGCGGCATTTTCCGTCGGGAGAGCCACTTTCTATTTGGGAATGCTGACTCTATCCAGTGCAAATATGTCCGGGTCTGGAAGTGTCATGCTGGTTGACACAAAAATCTTTACTGCATGACTAGCAAATACGGTGCCAAATAATTTTGGTTATCCGAAAACAGCGTTTGTCATGCAAATTAGAGATCAAGGAGCCTTCTCAAAGCGTTTAAAAATGCTAGAGCATGTATTCCAAACCTTCTGGGTCATGCGAATCCTGCAGGAGAGAGTAACCTTGCAATTATCTTCCAGATCCGGACATATTTGCACTTGATAGCGGAGCTTTAGTTCTAGCTGGTAGATGGTCCACATGCACTTTCTCTTTCGGCCCGTTCGGGGGCTCCGAAGTCGCCTGCTGCTGCTGATGATCAGCGACGCTGAAACTGGGTACTTTTTCCTGAGCAGAATATGCATTGCGAAAATGTCTAGGTCTGAATACTTAGCATGCCAATTTTGTCTAGATGACACGCAGAGTCCTATAGCACGCTCTGCAGGAGGGTTCCTTCACAACTACGTCTCTCTTGGGCAAACCGCATGGCATGACAAATCGCATTTTTGCATGACAGCAGCAAGTCGCCGTAACGCGACACGCATGACAGATTTTTCACTCTTGTCACGAGAGAATGACAAGTTTGCATCCTTCCAACCCTGGACATATTACTAGCATTTGATAGAGAAGTGGGGGTACAGTGGTGGAAGCCGGGATTATCATCTTCCGACTTGCGGCGTGACCGGCGGATCGAGGGAGAATTCTCTCCATCGACGCTTTTCCGCTTCCCGGGGCTTCTTGGTGTAGGTTTTTCTTCGGTTCCATTCATTCTGCTCCAAAAGCAGATGAGGTTGCCGACAGCTACGAAAGAACTGGAGAAGCCCTGCTGTAGAAGGGCTTTTTCCTTGCTGTAGAAGATTGTTGTTTCTGTTTCTGTTGTGGTTTGCGCTGCACCTACGACACTCCTCCGACCTGCTCGTCCTTCTGGTGTGGCCGAAACCCAGTGATTAACACTCCCTGCCGTGTGCTGTCGAGCACGCGCTGCACCTGGCCGTTGTTTCTACAAGCAAGTGCTCCTGCACGTTTGGATCAGTACCGCTTCTTCTCCCACGGCTCGCTTGCAGTAAGTTCTGGTGCAGGAAGTAGATGACTACGCAGCGTTGCCTTCAGTCACCTGCCCCCGTGTCGAAGACAATGTCAGCTCTCCGGCAATTTGCAGGTGTTCCCGAGCAGCGTGGGATCCGCCGAGCGCAACCTACTGGCAGCCGAACTACGGGGGGCAGTGGTTAATTCAGGAATTATTTTCAAGAAGAAATTTTTTTGAAGGGTTGTTGTGTTTTTCCGTTTTTTGTTCCTTCTCTTTACAGAAAAAAAGATTCAATCGCCCTAAATCTGTTACAAATGGTCTCTTGTCCACATCAAATTTCTCTTCGCCCCGAACGAGGCACGTCTACCGAGTAGCGGTTTGCGCAAGATCAACGCCTGCCGAGGACCGAGGCCTTTCCCTTTGTTCTAACCATAGATTAATACGCAGATGCAAGCTCGCCTCGACGCCTAGACGACGATAATTTGGCCAGTACTCACAACCATTTTGCACTCGCTTTATTGATTTTTTGTGATGAATACTTACAACCCGATATAAAAGGCGAGCTTTTGCGATGCTGGCGGCGACTTTTGTTATGCCTCTCACGAAACGAAACTACAACAGAGTCATTGACAGAACGCTACGTGTACGTGCCCAATGCCGACCCCGATGATCCCATCCATGTGCATGCGGTCTGCATCAACATCACAAAGAAGAACATCAATAACGCGATCTCTTTCATATACATACATGTAACACTTGTATGCTCTGTTCTCACGTACGCACGATCTCATGTACGAGTAATGCTTGCTCCTGGTGCGTCGACGATCGGTACTGATCTGATATCACAACTCCTTGTGACGACCCAAAACGCAAGCGCTACGGTAGACATTCGTCGACACTGCGACGCGACCGCAACAAATTTGATCATCATCATCATCATCTAACCCGCACGAGGTGGCGGTCTGTTCGCACGTTCAGAGCTTCCGTCTAGAAGGAGAGATCTTGCCCAGACTTCAACGAGTTACCTCTGTATCTGGTCCAATGAAAATCATATTTAGACGTCGTAGGCAAGCCAAATAAAGCGCATCCGGGAGGAATTCGTGCCTCCAGTTTTCGAAAAAGAAAATTTCGTGCGAACGACGCTGCAGCACAGCATGCTGGCCGGTGTCATTCTTCGCCTCAAAAGCGGCTGGGCGCGGCGAAGACTCGATTTTTGCACACAAAAAAACACGGGGTTGCGCCCTCTGGCCGCAGAGGACAGACCAATCCGCGGGGGCCAAAACGAAACTATTTCTAGATTTTATCTTTACTGGTTCCCGCATCGGCTACGTACTAACGTGTGACGCCACTATGTTCGCACGAATTTTTCACGCGTATCTAGCTGTTTCTGCATCTGTAGCCAGAGTGCTGGCACGGCTTGTTCATCCAGTATATTGTTCGCCCCTGAAGACCAAGGAGCCTTACCGTTGACCATCGCTTTTTTCCTGTGGTCGCAAGCTCGGACTTAAGTGCGAGGCCACAAATTCAGATGAAATGCCAAAAGCGGGGCCTTTGCATGCCAAAAGCGGGGCCGCAGTTTCCAGGTGACTTTCCAATTCCAAAAGCTGCTACGCGCGATATCGGCGCTGCCGCTTCAAGAGCCAGGCTTCGATGCGAGGCCGCGATTTCCCGAAATGCCAAAAGGTGCTCCCCCCGGCCCATCTTGTTCCCGCCGCGGAGGCAAGATTTCCCCGCGAGGCCGCAATTTCCCGATGAAAGGCCGCAAACTACTATCTGAGACGCCGGCTTTTGCCGCGCCAAAAGCCAGGTTTCCCTGCGAGGCCGTGGTTTCCCGAAATGCGAATAGCTTCTCACCCCAGCCCATCTTTTTCTCACCCGAGGCCGGTGCCGGAGCTCCCTGCGAAGCCGCAATTTCCCGAAAGGCTGAAAGCTGCTATGAGCGACGTCGTCTTTGCCGCGCCAAAAGCCAGATTTCCACGCGAGGCCGTGGTTTTCCGAAAGGCCAAAAAGCGCTACCCTCAGCCCATCTTTTTCCCACCACGACGGAGGCCAGATTTCCAGGCGAGGCCGCTCTTCCCGAGCAGCCGAAAGCCACCATCTGAAACGCCGTCTTTTGCCGCGTCAAAAGCCAGATTTCCATGCGGGGCCGCGGTTTCCCGAAAGGCCAAAAGCCGCTACCCAAGACATCACTTTTTGCCGCTCCAAAAGCCAGACTCCCATGCGGGGCCGCGGTTTCCCAAAAGGCCAAAGGCTGCTATCCAAGACATCACTTTTTGCCGCCCCAAAAGCCAGATTACCATGCGGGGCCGCGGTTTCCCGAAAGGCCAACAGCTGCTATCGGCGACACCTTTTTTTGCCGCCCCAAAAGCCAGACTGCCATGCGGGGCCGCGGTTTCCCGAAAGGCCAAAAGCAGCTATCTAAGACATCACTTTTTGCCGCTCCAAAAGCCAGATTTCCATGCGGGGCCGCGGTTTCCCGAAAGGCCAAAAGCTGCTATCCAAGACGACGTCACTTTCTGCCGCCCCAAAAGCCAGACGTCCATGCGGGG